TCTTATAGGGACGCGAAAATCTATTGCTAAATTCAACTTTAGGAGTTTCACGTATTATTTTACTAATATTTGTTTTAGAAGCAGAAATTAGAGAACCTTTCTCTGATTTAAGGGATATTTCTTGAATTGACTTTCTCAGATCTTGATTTTTTAACTCTAAATCCTCTGAAACCACAAGAGATTTACTTGAATATCTTTTGACTAAATTGAATATTTTGGTTGAGAAGCCCACAAAGTTATACTTTCCAACCTTAATCCATCGTTTGAAATTGTCATCATTCACAATTTCAAAATTAAAATTGTTCATCTTTAAAAAGCTCAAAAATTTGATATCAAATTCAATAGTTGAATTTTTAGAGTAAATCAGCTTTTTCCACTCCGAGAGATTGCCATTATTTCTATATTTTCCTTCAAAAGAAAGTATCGGAATTTCTAAATCAACAGTTGGAATTATTTTATAGCCACACATAACTGTTTTAAATATTTTTTGCTTTATCAGCCTTTCAGAATCACTGATGCTTTTCATATCTGCACATTCTCTGTAGAAAGAAATATCCTCCAATCTTAACCCTACAGATTTATCATACTTGGAGATAATATACAGCATATTCAAAAATATCTCCGGCTCATCTCTTACAAAATCTATCATTTTAGTAAAATATTCCAAGAGTATAGATGAGTGAATTTGAAACTTACAACTTCGAGCCTGGCTGATCAGCTCACCAACAAATTTCAAATTATTAAATGTTTCAAATTCAGTATCAAACTCGATTTTCAAAAACAATTCTGAAAGGAGAATAAAAAAGGTTGAATTCCTTGTGGTTTCTGTAACCCTAGTAATGCAATCGACAAGTATATAATAGTTTTGCAGATAGTTTGCTTGACTGTCTCTGATATCAATAAGTTCTCTGTTTAGAACCTCCATGATTAAGTCTGAATCTTTCATCTCAACTAATTTGGTGAGAAAAATATTGATACATTCCTCAGACTCTTTAAACAATCCTATAGTGCTTCTGTATTCCTCAACAAGTTTATTTGAATCGGTACAACTTTCAAGTACAAATTTATTAAGCATCTAAGAAAATCTGGGCAATTTTTTTAAGAAAAAAGAAATCATTTTCGCTAAAAGAGAATCATTGTAGAATCTGTTCAAAAATTTTTAGTAAGAATAACCTTCTATTTAAAATAATCTACTTGTACCTCAAAATTGCTTGATTGATCATTCTTACGTATCCACTGCAATACCAAGAATCAACATTTATTAATATACTTCTTTTAGTTTCATTCAATTTTAACCCTGTTATGCTTGTTAATGATTTCTATAGAAATCTGTTGAGAGAATCTACTAGTTCTTTTATCTATGGAACGGCTTCTGCAGCAGTAAAACAGTTTTTAAGCAATACCAAACCCGATAACAATTTGATTTATAATCAGTCTCGAGCCATTCAGGAAGGATTAGAGTATGCGCAATATAATATGATTTATATGACATGTGTGTATACCTGTCGATATTTTTCTATAAAGAAATCAATCTCTAAATTTATCAGTATCTTCATAAGCTCGTATCTAATTGGAGTACGTAACGGCGTATCTTTTGGAATCAAAACCGGTATTTTTGCAATAGGTGCAACTCTATTATCTAGATTAAAAATATTCTAGGATGAATTAAAAAATTATTCAACTTAGTTTTCAACAATATTAATACAGACTGAATAAAAAATCGTAAAATCCCCTTACAAAGTAACTTAAAGTATTTATTGACATCGAAAATCTCAATAAAGATTTTTAACCTTTGTTATTCACGTAATCAGTTATCTTTATATTGGAGTAAGACCATTCAGCTTGCTATTTTGGAATATACTGATTTTTCATTGATATAATAAGACTAAAACAATATAGGTTTAAAGTATTTATTAGTGATTTTAGGATTAAATAATACTTTAAAAGATTATACTTACGGCTAGTATATTCAATGTATAATTCAAATATTTTAACGACTATTAATTGATCTAAAGATTTTCAAATCACTGTTTTATTAAATATGCTATTCATGTTAGTTAACATTTACTCATAACTCCATTATTTTCTATTTTTGTATATTATTTTATGTTACAGAGAATTTTCACCCAAATAAAATTGCACTTCCGATAATGAGATTCAAGTTGATATTACAAATAAACCCATGTATATCTTTACAACTACAATTTCCTTTACTACAGATAACACTCAGAATCATTAATTTAGTCACAAACTTAATATCTAACCATTATATTTGATTAATTATCAATTTATCACATCATTTTTAATTAATGTTGTTTTAAATAGCTACACTATTTAGCAAATATTACAAGAGCAATCACATCCTTCACCAAATGTTCTTCGATGTGTAAAATATATTGTCACATAAGCATTCCCACTGAGCCCACTACCTAATACTGGTAGGAATAGATTTCTAATGTACGTGGTAGGAATCTCCTTTATCATTGCACGTGTCAAGACGATTGTAATGGTATCATCGATATTAATGGTTTTAATAAATCTATCATTAAACTGATCACGGAAAATATTACAGGTTATAGTTAAATCTCCATTATAAGATCTAGTGATAGTAACTCCTTCATTTCCAGTATCGAAAGTTGTCGAAGTTACAATAGGTGAATGAGTAAACACAGTCGAGGCATTTGGCTGATGTGAGATTTGATCATGATTTGATTCTAAAACCTCATTGATTGTAAATGGATGTGTTACCAGTCTTACAAAAATGTCCTGATACACTCCATTTCCAATATAGCTTCCCCATCCAGGATATGGGAATATGTGAAGAGCGCGAGTATGTGGCGGAATGGGAACTTTAAGAGTTACAAGCTCCATTTTACAAGACTTCGTTGCTCTTGGAATCTCTATGGTAAATTCATTTCCGTAAATTAGATCATTATTGGATACAATAAGATCATAGTAGCAAGAAGATATTCTACTTGATGGCATTTAAGGGGAAAATTTATAAAAGGAAAAAATAGTTTGGTCTTAGATGTCCAAATATGGAAAATTAATAGCAGATATACAATTATTAAATTTTATCCAATTAATAAAATCGTCCCTGTGTTTGTATGTGATAGCATAATCTTAATTGAAGTTATACATCATTTCCCCTATATAAAATTGTTATTTGCCTCTTATAACTTATTAAAATTATAATCATCTGCTGAATGTTAATGAATAGAGTTCTAAACATCTACTTGATATAATTAAAACATCAGACATAAATATCATTTATTAATTAAGTTTGCTTAAATGATTGTATTGATATGATATCTGGTTTGTTTGGAATATTCAAAGCATTGGATAGTCCTTGTATGTCATCAGTTATAGGGCTTTTGGATAAATAGAACTATTAATCTTCAATAAATCTGTTTTTTATAAAATACACTCTAAAATGATCCACGATGCTAAATCACAGCTTCAGATTAAACCAAAACATAATAACTCTCTCCACTTGGCATACAGTGGTAAATTTTCATTATCTGAGCATTGATGTTTAACTTTTTCTCGATGTAGATATCCTTAGAAATAGTGCTTGTTCGTATAATTTTTCAATAGATAGAAAACTATTTGCATTTGGCTAAATAAATAGCACTGCAGAATATCTGTCTTATAACAAGCACTAAATATAATTTGTCAGAAATTGTTTATATTTATTTAACACCATTTGAAACAGCCCATATGCTCATCATCTGTATACTCACGCTTAAATTTAACTTTTACAAGAGCATTTCCTGATAGACAAGTACCTATCTTAGGGGTAAATAGATTTGCTATGAATGTATTCGGTATAGATTTTATCATTGCTCGTGTTAAAATTATTCTGGTGTTACCATCCAAATTAATAATGCGGTAAAACCTATCATTAAATTGATCACGATAAATGTCACATGTTATATCTAAATCACCATTTGCGGATGTTTGAATCTCTACACCCTCATCTGTAAATTCCCTATTGATACTTCCCATATTGAAATAATCGGTTCTTTGGAGAATATCGTTGGGGGAATTATTAAAAACAGATGAATAGTTCTGTGCAAATGAAATTGTATTACATGGAGTTTTATGTGAATTGGGTTGAACAACTTCTGCTACTGTCATTGGTTGTGTGACAACTCTGATAAAAATGTCTTGGTAAATACCATTGCCCATATAACTCCCTAATCCTGGATATGGAAATATATGAAATGCTGGTGTTTCTGGCTGGATTGGAATTTTTAAGGTGATAAATTCCATTTTTCCAAGATAGTTAATTCTTGGAATCTCTACAGTTAACTCAATCCCATAAACTAGATTGTAATCTGAGACTAAGACATCAAAATAACAAGACGTAATTCTATTTGTTTTCATTAAGGGTGTATAAATCAAGATGTAATAGAAGTAGAAATATTAACTGTCAGGTGTAGCATCTGACAATTTCCTTTATTATTATGAAAATAATTTTACATCAGCAATCCCAATATCTGTTCATAAAACTGTTATCTTGGCAATTTATACTATAGTTGATGTGTTATTGGTAGTAATATGAATCTGAATTGTTATATTATCGAAACAATCAAACCTATGCATTATATCTTTAAGCCAAATAAATATGTGCTTACTACTTCTAGAATCTTTAATATTACAAAATCTGATAAAACATCAATTTTTTGAAGAATATTTGAGTGCTGTAAAATTAGTTTATTACTGTAATCAACACTTTGCCAACCAAGTATTAAAATTTCAATACCATAATAGATCTTATACTAACAAGAAGCCAATCTCACCGAATAAACTAAATTAACAATTTCTAGAGTACAATCCTTCAAATAGATGATCGATATATTAGCTCTGGTTATTATCGTTAAAGTTATATAAAACGTTCCAATAGATTTGGGTTATTTAATATTTCACTTATTTCTAAATTAATGGTGCCAATTGTTTATAAGCTGGCCCATAAACCATGCATTTTCAAAGCTGGGATGAAGTTTTTTAGATAATTTGTTTTCCAGTTCTATATTTTGCAAAAATTTTTAGGAAATTTTTTTATTCCAAGCCCCAAATGAGTTGTAGAAAGTTCAGAGCACCAAGGCATGGTTCATTACAATTTAGACCAAAGAGAAGATCTACTTCAGTTAGACCAAGTATTAAGAGTTTTCCAAAGGATGATTCCTCAGCCCCATGTCATCTTACAGCATTTCTGTCATACAAAGCTGGCATGACCCATGTGATTAGAACTAAAGAGTTCCGTGCTAAGAATAAGCTACAAACCAAAGAGGTTCTGGAAGCAGTTACTATTTTGGAAGCACCAGCAATGATTATTCATGGTATTGTTGGGTATCAACAATCTGTAAAAGGTCTTGTGAGAACCAAAACAATTATGGCCGAGCATCTGTCTGAAAACTTACTCAGAAGAATGTTTTCTAAGAAGTTTGTTCCAGGTATGAAGTACACTGATTTAAGGAAGAATGTGTCTTACACTCAGGAAGATGTGGATGAGATTAAGAAGACTTCCGATGTTATTAGAGTTCTTGTTCATTCTCAAGTGTGTAAGATAAAGTCTATTCGACAGAAGAAGGCACATATTTCAGAGATTCAAATTAATGGAGGATCTGTCTCGGATAAGGTTGATTTTGCTCTTAGTAAGTTAGAAAAGGAAGTTAGAATTGAGGATGTATTTCAGAGGAACGAGCTGATTGATACTATTGGTGTTACCAAGGGTAAAGGTTTC